TCCAAGTGTTCCCAGTATTCCCAGTGTTCCCAGTGCTCCCAGTGTTCCACTGAACCCTCAAGCTCTCGGCACAGTGACAGTGAGGACAAACAGAACTCTCCCAGTGCTCCCAGTATTCCCAGCATTCCAAGATTTCAAACCTTCAGCATAGTGGGAGGAAGGGGACAAATGGAATGAGCCCAGTGTTCCCAATGTTCCCAGTATTCCCAGTATTCCCAGTGAGCCCCCAAGCTCTTGACGTAGTGACAGTGGGGACAAACAGAGCTCTCCCAGTGCTCCCAGTATTCCCAGCATCCCAATGAGCTTTCAAATCTTCAGCACAGTGGGAGGAAGGGGACAAATGGAGTGAGCCCAGTATTCCCAGTGCTCCCAGTGTTCCCAGTTCTCCCAGTATTCCCAGCATCGCAATGACCTTTCTTAGCATAGCGGGAGGAGGGGAACAAATACAATGAGTGTTCCCCGGTATTCCCAGTGTTCCCAGTACTCCACTGAGCCCTTCCAGTGCTCCCAGTAGTCCACTGAGCCCTCAAGCTCTCGGCACAGTGACAATGAGGACAAACAGAACTCTCCCAGCCCTCCCAGCGCTCCCAGTATCCCAAAGAGCTTTCTCAGCATAGTGGGAGGAGGGGGAAAAATGGAATGAGCTCAATGCTCCCAGTGCTCCCAGTGCTCCCAGTGTTCCCAGTATTCCCAGTGTTCCACTGAGCCCCCAAGCTCTCAAGCACAGTGACAGTGGGGACACACAGAGCACTCCCAGCGCTCCCAGTTCTCCCAGTATCCACGATCCCCCAGCCCCCCAGCACAGCGTGGGGGTCTCCAGGGCTGCACCCCCCTTTTCCCTGCCCCGGCCCCGTTTCCCAGCGCGTTCCCCAAATCCTCCCCGAGCGGAGCGGGAGCTCCCCCTCCCCCGGTGCCACATTGGCCGCGTCCCTCCCGCTCCTCTCCCTGCCGAGCTCCCGGCCCCGGCACAGGCGGGGATTTTTTTGGCGTGTAATTACACCCTCCCCAAATTGCACGGTAGGTTGTGGATCATTGTCCAGGAGCTTTTGCTTTTTCCAACCAACGTGGCTCCTTCAAATGTGGAAACGGCCGTGGAGCCGTGCCAGGGGGGGAGAGCGAGGGGAGCGAGCGCAGCGAGGGGAAGGAAGGGAAAAGAGGGAAAGAAAGGGCTGAAAACACAGAGTCGGTGGGTTTGGGGGTGGGGTTTGGGGTGTCTGTGCTTCTTGGAGGGGTTTTGGGGTTGGGGTCCCTCGGGGGATGCTCTTGGGGACCATCCAAGGGATGCTCTGGGGACTGGTGGCCTTGGCCTTGCACCGTGCTTGGTCCCACTGGAGGAGGGTCCCCAATGGGAGCCCTGGATGGGTTTTGGGGTGCCTCACTTCTGGGAGTGGCTGTTGGAGGGGTGGAAGGGCCCTGGGTGTGTTTTGGGGTGCCCCAGCTCTGGGAGTGGCTGTTGGGGGGTCCCCGATGGAAGCCCTGGGTGTGTTTTGGGGTACCCCAGCTCTGGGCGTGGGTGGCAGGGCCCTGCGTGTGTTTTGGGGTGTCCCAGCTGTGGGGTGGCTGTTGGAGGGGTCCCCAGTGGGAGCCCTGGGTGTGTTTTGGGGTACCCCAGCTCTGGGGATGGCAGGGCCCTGGTGACACTCCCAGCATGGCGTGGCACCGGGGTCCCCAAAGTGCCACGTGCCACATCGCCCGTCCCCACCCTGCCAACCCCTCAGACA